TGCCCCGGTCCCCTTCAGTCCCCCTCCTCACCCCACTGGATGGGCAATGCCCCTTTCGGAGCAGGTTGGGACCTTGGAACTTGATGTAGGGAAGGAATGAAAAATCCAGAGTAGGATTCGGAGGCAGAACCACAGGAGCAGCTCTGGGGCTCAAGAGGAGAAAAGCCACTTTTCCTATCATAGAAGCAACTGGGGGATGCGGGTTCTTGGTTTCTTCACCTTTTAATATGGGGATCATATTAGTATTCTTCCTCTAGGGGTATCGTGATGACTAAGTGCGAGTCCATGTAAAATGCTCGGCATAGTTTCCAGATCATAGTAAATGCTCCAAATAGCATCACTATTGCTCTTAGAGCCATTAGAGAGCCACGCAGCCCTATCCAAGGAAATTCAATCAGGCCAGAAGTCAAGGCAGAGGTCTAGATTGCCTTGACATCCCAATCGTCACTCTTCTCCTTATTTCCGTGTAACCAGATGGAGAAACTGAGGTTGCAGAGAAGAAATACCATGCCCAAAGTGATCTAGGCGGTGAGCATTGGACTAAGGTTCAATCCTGGGTCTTTTTACTTCCTAAGACTACCTGCTTGATTCTTCTGGATAGCATTATCTCCAAATGTAAACGTTAACATAAATGAAAGGTCATGTCAAAGACTTCTTTTTTGAGCCGGAATTTAAAAATCATTCCCAGGCCAATCATCGGCATCATTCTACACGTTTCCTCTATGTTCCCACTTAAGGAGGAAGAGATTATGTGAGCGATTGTAAATATTTATTTAAGCTCGGGGTCAGTTCCCACCCTTCAACTTCCAGGTCTTACTTTCAATGACTAAGGAACAGAGACTCTCCAAATTTGCTTAGCAATGCATGTCCCTGAAAAGTGCTCTTTAGGACAGGAAATGTTTAAGCAATGAATTAAACGGTGATTTGCTGTGGCGATGTGTTTTTAAGGGAAACAGAAAGAAATGTGCTTTTGAGAGAAATAGGGCCAGGTGTGTGATTTTTTTTTTCCAAATGCTTTTTAAAGAATTGAGGTTTCATGTAAGATTTCCTATGAGCTGCCCACCGAGTAGCAGTCCCAGCTTCCTGCTCTGGGTCTCCCTGTAAAGCCCAGAGGAACTCTGGCACTGAAAATGCTCTTGGCCAGGAACGTAACACAATCTTCCCTCATTACGGGAGGACAGAAGCCTCAGTGTGCAGGAAGGTAGGCAGGCAAGAGAAGCAGGAGAGTGGATGAGTGCTTTTTGCCTGCTCTCCTGCTGTGCAAGAGCCAGGCCCGTTAGTTGAACTATTTGTCTGGCCAGTCAAGGACAACGTGCATGGCATTATCTGGTCCCCTTAAAGTCTCTGAGTCCCAGTCAGTTGTTTTGATGTTTTGAAGACGTAAATAATAATAATAATAATAATAATAATAATAATAATAATAATAATAATAATAATAAAAAAGGTAGGATGAAGATGAGTGATTTCCCCCAGAATTTTTGTCCTTAGCATAGCATTTATTCTTCTTGAAATATTCAGGTCACTAAAGAGACTAGGACAATGCTATCTTATATTTATAAACAAGTAGTATAGCACCGAAACCAGGATACCAGTATCAGCCTCATAAAGAATGAAAGAGATAATGTATACAAAGTACTTAGAAGTGTTATTTTAATTACTCTAACTGTAATGAAACCATACCGTTATTCTGTTGTATTCTGATAAGGTTTCCCTTTTGAGATCACAGCCTAATGCTACTCGCATTATGGTTGGAGGTAGTGTTTTCCTTGAAGGAAAGATACTTGATGCTAATTATCCAGGAAAGGGATATATCCTCAGTTAGGAAACTGGAATTAGACCAGGGAAGTAATTCTTTCCCTCTCACTTTACTGGGCCTAGAACTCAAGAAATCTAGATATGCTTAAGGCCACTCCCGCTTGGTAAGGTTTAAAAACGCCAAGGTGGAAGCCAGGAAGGGGTCAGAAACTGAAGATGGTGAGCTCCATCGTGTAAACCAGACCGTTGTCACACAAGCAGCAGATTCTGGGAGTGGCAAGTGTAAGAAATGGAGTCAGACCACCTACACTTGCTGAGTAGCTGGGCCATCGGAAAAGCAAACTCTCCAAGTGGAAGCCGAATCTTGGGAAAGAAGTGGGGGTTTATTTCACGTAAAGAGGGTAGATTTCCTTGCAAGTCCTTCAAACGTTCCAAAACTTTCAGTTACATCTACTGAGTCTCACAAAAACTCTAAGGTAGTTTGGACACCAGTGTCTGTTTTTCTAAGTTCAGGTTCAAAGAGATTATGTGACTCGCCTGTGATTGTGAAGTCAGCACACAGCAGTGACTGAGGAAAATCCAGTTTTTGTTTTTTCACTGATTCCTAGTGCAAGACTTCAATGATTTCTACACTAGGAGAGTCAACATGTTGTGAAGGTTTTTCTGCCTACCATTTTGCATTATTCACATCACTTATTATCCTTTCCATGTCATCCATATCTTAAAAAAAATCTCTTTAAATTGCATTTTTTGGGTGGCATTGGTTAATAAGTTACAGAGGTGTCAGGTATACACTTCTATAATACATCATCTGTATACTTTAGATTTTATTTATTTATTTTTAGAGAAACAGGAAGGGAGGAAGAGAAACACCAATGTGAGAGAGAAACATTGATCAGTTACCTCTTTTATGCCCCTGATCAGGGACCAAACCCGCAACCCAGGCATGTGCCCTGACTGGGAATCGAACTGGTGACATTGTGCTTTGCAGGATGATGCCCAACCACTGGGCCACACCAGTCAGAGCTATATTTTTATGTCTAATTAGCTAATTAACCAATTGAGAAGTATGTATTAAGCTCCTCATATGTGCCCCAAATTAGGTGAGGTACTGTGGGTATATATAAAAGGTGTATAAAAGGCTTTTATCCTCATGCCTAATTGGGGGGAGGTGTTAATTAACATATATTAAAAATTTTTTAGTCATTCAAACTTAAAAGGAACAGTATTGTCTTAAATATGCTGTAGGAGTTCAGAAAAATAGAGACTAATGTGGTTTGGAATAATCTAAATAATAAAAAGCTTTGCTTCTCAGGAAGCCATTGAGAAGACTAACTCCTATCTTAATTTTTAAAATATATATTATTTCAGACACAAAAATTGAAAACTTATTCTAGGCACTGGGGATATATGGACAAATAAAGCACTTTCTGTCTTCAAAAGCTGAGAGTTTGGCAGAAGGAAACAAGTAAATAAACTACTAAAAAAAGAAACAGCAGGCCAAAATGGAGTCCCTTTTGCTAAGCATGTCACTGAACCAAAACTTAATAAACTAACCTAATTGCAGTTTCAGCTGTTTCTAGGAGTGACATTTTAAACCAATCATTCTGGAATTTCCTGACCAACCCTCGTTAGTTAATATGCGCAAGACCCTCTGCCTTCCCCTAAGGGAGAGTGTCATTGCCTGAAATAACCCACTGTTTTAGTTTGTTATTCCCACCTCCTTTCACTCTATAAACTCTTCCATTTTGTTCAACTCATCAGAGTTTCTGTCTCGTTGCTAGACGGGATGCTGCTGGATGCATGAATCGCTTAATGAAGCCAATGCGATCTTCAAATGTCCTCGGTTGGATTTTGTTTTTTCACAAACCAAAGCCATTGCGTATCTAAGTGAGAGGTTCTCTGATAGGAGTACAAGATCACAGAGGAAGAGGTTGACCGGAAAAGCTTCAAATAGTAACTGACCTTCAAGGAGGTCAGGGACAACCAGGAGGGGACAGAATGCCTGTGTGGGCCTGCTGGCGAATGCTGGGGCGGGGAGAGGGAAAGGAAAGGCATTCCAGCAAAGGCGAACTAACTGCAAACAGCTCATGAAACGGCAGGGAGAGTAGGCAGTTAACCTGAGAGCAACGTTGAGCTTTGCTCTATTAATAATTTCAAAGCCCTTCATGATCTCTGCATGGCAAAAGGGACTCTTTAAAAACAAATAACTCGACCCCCGCATAGAGTGACTGACATTTAAATACAAGTTAATGCTAATGATTACTTTTTCATATTTTGGGGTGTTATGAATCTACTGTAAAAAATTGTATTCACTTTATACAAGTACTTATCTTCCAATATGAGCCATTTTGTGATGATCCATCATTTATTTTCAATTTCAAAGAGAATGCTGATCACAGCACCACAAGAATATCTTCAACATAAAAATACTTATTTTAATAAATAATAGGGTTGTTTTAGGTTTTACTGAGATTATAGAACCAGAATTAATAAAAAGAGCATAAAAACTTAAAATCATTGAATACTAATACCTTGCATTTGGAAGGCCTTTTAAAATTTACTTAACTATTTATAAACTGTTTTTACATAACACCCAGTCATTTAAATGAATAAACATAAGCACCTAAGATCTAAGACTAATTTTAAATATATATAGTCATTTGACTCTCATCATTAGACATATTATGCAAAAATCACTTTTAAAAATAAAATACTCTTGTTTAGTGAACTTGTCCGTAAGATGAGACCAAAATTTAACATCATGCTCCAGCCGCAAAGCTTCAGAAAAGTGTGATTTAAAGCTTTTCCATAGTGCAACAATAAACACAACGTGGGCATGTTCTTGTTGCTATGAGACCCTTCTATTTTGTATCAGAAATTGCAGGCAGCCCTGACGACGCAATGCTTGTGTCTTTTTTTAACACGTTTTTCTCCAGCTATTCCGCTCCCCTAGTAATAACAGTCTAATGGCTCTCGTTTCCTCCCGTACCCGCCCGTTTCCGTTTAGCTCCAGTTCTACTGGGCTGCGCTGTCGCTGTCCCTAGGGGCCGGCGGCGAGCCCGGGATCAGAGCAAATGCGGAGGGCGGGAGTTGGGGCAGGTCGGTCTCTCCGTCCAGCCGGCCGCGGACGCCAAGGCCGGGTGGCGAGCGAATTCGGTCACCCCCTCGGAAGCTGAGCACTGCACCCAGCTTTCCAGCTGCCTTTAAAAACCTGCAATTAAAAAAAAAAACGTCGTCCAAATAGAAGGGGAGGGGGAGAGCAGTGTGTCTAATGTCCCCAAATGGATCAGAAATCAGGGAAAGGAGGCGCGCCGAACTTCAGCAAATAAACCAGGGCTCATGCTTGGATCTGTACGAAAAGGACTGCCGCCTAGGGTGTCGCGCGGGGTCTCAGGCTGGGAGACAGTGCTTCTGATCTCGCGGGAGCGAGAGGGTCGCGGCGGGGATGGGGGAAGGGCGCACGCTCGCAGGCTCCCTCCGAACGCCCTTTCCCCCCCCCGCCCTAGGGTCTTCTCCCCTCGGGATTCCGAGTCCTGGGCCCGGTAGGGCCCAACTCGCCGCGGGGGGTGAAGGGGGCGCGGACGTCGCGACCTAGGTTAGGGACGGACGTCTCCCGGGCAACGGGCTCCGCACAAGATGGCGGACGATAAAGAAAAGGAAGGCAAAGGTAAGAGGCTGCCCTCGTCGCCCGCCGCGACCCCGGCCGCGATGAGAGGCGCCACGTGGGGCTGGGCCACCCCAGATCTAGAGCTCCCACTGCTGGGAGTGGGGTGATTGCGGAAGGGGCCGCCCTGCAGGGGACGCCGCCCTCCCCCGCTCCCGCAGCTGTCACGGCTGACGCCTCGGCCCCGCCCTCTCCTCCTCCCCCTTTCCCCCTCCCCCTCGTCCCTGGTCCCCGCCCCGCCCGTGCTGTTCTCCTCCCTCCCGCCCTTTCTCGGGCCTCTCGGGAGACGGAGCCTCGGTTGCCGCGGGGCTTGCGGCTCAGGCGCCGGCGAGAGAGGGCTGTGATGGCGTAGTTCCTCATAGTCGCGGGGACCCTGCCTCCAGACTTCTCGGGGCCGCAGACCCTGTGCGGGCCGCGGCCCGTGCTGCGGGCCCTTGGCCGGCCAGGGTGAGGGCAGGTCCGCCGCCTGTAGCTGGTTAGTCCTCTCGGGCCGCGCCGCAACCCCGCCCGGCCCCGGGCGGCGGCCACCATTTTGCCTCCTCCTAGGACTTGGGAGGACGGCCCCGAGGTCACGGTCGTCCCCTGCCGGCCTCCACCCTCTGGCTGCGCCACCCGGCTGGTGGTCTGTCTAATGTCAGAGAAACAAAACACAATCTTAATAAAGACGAAAGCAAACCGGGGCGGGGACGCGCATGACTCCAGTGTGCCGGCCGAGCCTCTGCGGCGGACTCGACCGACTCGGGGCATTCGCGGTCACGGTCACCGGTGCGGCGGGCGGTGAAGGGAAGGGGCTGCCCGGCTCGTGGTAACTAGAACGGAGGGTTGGTGTGTTTCGTGAGTGGAGGGCAAAGCGATGATCCACGTTTATTTGCAAGAACCGATCCTAGGTTACCATCCTGTCAGTTACTCATAATAGACTTTATGTTTGGTAATTGACAGTCGTTGCAAAAGAGCCATAAACAGCAGAGATAAACAATTTAGAAAGGAAAATATTCCACATTTGTTTCCTTTCTTGACTGTTTACCATATTAACATAAATAAGATAGAAAGTAATTCTGTCTATATAGGAAGTAATGACTTAAAAAGCTGGATAGATGGGTGCAAGATTTATCAGGATGATCACTTAGTAAGTTAAGTAATGCATAATCACTGGGGTGTACACCTGAAACTAGTATTATAATGTATGTCAACTGTAACTGAAAAAAATACATGATTTAAAAAAACCTGGACATCATTCATTCTTTTAGTACAGATATAATGCCTATCATACGGAGCTTTGGAGAATATAGAGGTGGTGAAAACCATCATCTTCTCTCCCAAGAATGGTGAGGTCACTAAGGGAAATAAGACATCACAAATGGGAGGGAACAGTTAACTGGGCTGAGCAGCCTGTGTGCCTGGATGACGTGCCGGGTGTGTGATAGCCCCTTCTGGCCTGTGGCTCGTGGCCTGCACACCCCTGGGAGTTTATCAGAGAAAAAGAATCCCAGTCCTTACCGCTCGCCTGCTGAATCAGAGTTTGCATTTTAACAGATCTGCAAGTGATTTCGTATGTACTCCAAAATTTGAGAGGCGCTGTTACATGGTATATCTCGTTTATTCTTAACTATTTTATGAGTTAACTAGAATGCAGTCCAAAGTGCAGGATCGAAATAAAGGTATGTTTGTTGTCTGAGGATAAACTGGGGTCTCATTTGGTGATACATCTTGGTATGGGCATCCCACTTCTATTATTTGATTTTCAGCTCTGAAGGGTTAGAAATTACATCTAAGCAATTAATCACAATTATTTAGCTATTGGGGATATGCACAAGCTAACTAAACCCATGAACAGGGATGTACAAACCCGAATAGTGGTTTATTAACATAAATGGGGTATGTTCATACACTGACCAGAAAGCTGATCTCTGCAATGTAATACAAAGTTTTACAGGTTTTGGGGAGGGTGAATTTATATTTCAAAAGTTGCTTGATGAGCATGGAGTCACACAAAAGAAAGGATAATTTTGGAAGTTGTATATGTTACCCTGAAAGCACCAGAGGGTGGAGGCTATTTTCTGATCTGTTATTCTGAGTGTTTTTCAGAGAGCCAGCACATGGTAGGAACTCAATATTTGTAGAGTGTAGATCATTTGAAATTAAAGATGTTAATGTTTTAACCAAAGCATTACTTGCTGTTTCCCCAAAATCTATTCTATTAACTAAAGTATATAAAACTATTTGAAGGGGTTCCCCCCTTTCTTACATGTAAGCTACATGCTTCTGTTTCATCTCACTCAACAAACATTTTTATGGGAACTAAAGTATTCACTGCCCTGTCTTTCAAAAACAACTGTTGTACAGAAGTACTCTTTGTAGAAACGTATTTTGAATAGTTCGTCTTTAATCTTGAGGGTTTTTTTAAATTATAAAGGAGGATTAAGTTTGTGAGTAGCCGTCATATCCAGCTCTCTTCAACATTTAGGGATTAATCGATATAAGTATTGAGACTACAGGGGTGGGCAAAAGTAAGTTTGCAGTTGTGACACTCTTTTGAGTTAATAAAGCTGTTGTAATAATCATAACCCGCATGTCTTTTTCTGTACCAATAACTGTAAACCTACTTTTGCCCACTCCTGTATTGGTCAGGGGCTGGTATGTTTTAGTTATGAAATTCTTCTGTAAGATTATGTACATGGAAGTTGTTATGCTTATTTGTAGCATTTTTGTGCTTTAACATAGTATGATTTAATTTTTTTATATTAAAAAGTATCTTTAAATGGAGAATCAATGCAGTTGTTGATTCTTTGGATCTTTGAATCTTATTTTGGTGTGTGTGTGTCTCCTAGACAGTTTTATATAGGACTGGAAGGATCTTCTGTCTGTAATTAGAATCATGCCTAGGAAACAAACTGCTTAGAAATAAAATTTTCACTTTTGGCAGTCCAGTGAGCTTTGGAAGGTATGCCAGTTTTTTTTAGTAAGCCTCAAATACTCAAAGCTCTCTCTAGGATGAGCTATTTTTGTTTGTGTGGAACCATTCTTTGTTACTTTGCATGCTTTGATAGCATTGCTTGGTAAGTGCTTTCTATACAGTTAATCCAAATCGAAAAGGTTTTACAAGTTCATTATTGTTATTGTTATTATTTCTCTGTAATTGTGACATTCCCCTTGAAAGCTAACATATGGAAATCTAAAGTGAAAAAACAGAAGTTACCAGTGAATATTACTTTCTGAAAAAGGGAACTATTGATGGTGCAGAACATCGTGTGGGACAGCAGGACAGGCGAGCTTTGGAGTGAGACCGGAACTGGAAATTCAGCTTCCCCAACCTCCGTCTGATCTGAGCCGAGATGTTAGACTCGAGGAGCCTCAGGTCCCTCAAACGTAACGTGGGAATAATTACACGTATCTCATAGCGTTGCTGTGATGGGGACAGTGTCTTCTCGTTCCTCTTTACGTCCCCAGTGCCTACTGCAGTGTCTGACACTAACACTAACGGAAGGGCTGAGTAAGGAGGAAGGCGAGTGCTCACTGCACTTAGGGAGTAGGTATTGGTCAGTGTGTGACATGGAGTCTCAAGGGTAAGAAAAACCTACGTTTGAGTCTTCCCAATTATTGATCACATATGATGCATTTGTACATATATTTGGGGCCATTTGACAAGTTTTGTCCCTGCTTTGGACTGATAAACATTTAGGTAGAGACCAAATGAAGAAGAAAACTGGCTTGTTGAAACTTAACTTACTTCCTCTAATTCAGAATTAACAAAATTTGCAGAAGAACTGGATTTAAATATATCTTTGACTAATCTATAAAAATTTGTCAAACACTCATAATTTAAAAAATCAAATGGACATGGTGATAACACTTCACACCTGTTATATTGGCTACTGGGAACACTGTTGGAAAGCATGGGAAAATGGGAATCCTTGTGTATTGTTGATGGAATCCAAAATGGTGCAGCTGCTGAGGAAAACACTGTGGCAGTTCCTCAAAAAATTAGACACTGAATTACCATGTGATCCAGCAATTCCACATCTGGGTTTACTCCCAAAATAACTGAGAGCAAAAACTCCAAAGAGATATTTGCATGCCCAAAGTTCATTATTCACTGTAATCAAAAGGTAGAAACAACTCAAGTGTTCATCAGTGGAAGAATGGATTAAAAAATGCATTATATACATACAATGAAATGTTATTCTGCTTTAAAAAAGAAGGGAATTCTGACGTATGCTACCACAGGGGTGAACCTTGAAGAGATTATGCTAAGTGAATTTAGCCAGTCACAGAAAGACGAGCGGTATACAATTCACTTACACGAGGTTCCTGGAGTAGTCAGAGTCATAGGAACAGAGAGTAGAATGGTAGTTTCCAGGGGAAGGGGGAAAGGAATAGTTATTTAATAAGTATAGAGTTTTGGTCTTGCAAAATGAAAAGAATTCTGAAGATTGTTGCACAATAATGTGAATGGACTTAACACTACTAAATTGTACACTTACAAACATTTAAGGCGATTCATTTTTTGTTATGTCTAATTTACCACAATTTAAAAAAATCAAGTGGAAATGCTGAGCATATCCAAAATGAAAAAAACAAAACAAAACAGTGCATCATTTTTGGAAGGCGATTTGGAAATTCCTATTAAAAAATATCTACATGCTGTGATTCTTTAATATACTGCTGAGTATTTTACCCTTAGAAGTACATTCTGAAAAGAAAAAAAGCAAGCACAAAGATGATTAAAGTGATTTATACATTTGAAAATATCGACAAAATCTTCTTGTCCAGCAAATGGGGACAAATAAGCCAAGTAAGTCGTAATGTATTGACTTGCTGGGTTGCAGCCATTGAAAGCAGTATACGAAAATTGTGTGTGTAAATGGGTGAGGATGACGGGGGCATGGAATATGATGTCAGGGTGGTTCGGTTTTCAGGAGCATTTATTTTCGTCTCCTTATTTTCATGTCATTTCTATAAAAGTTTCAAAACTCAGTGGGCAACAATTGTTATATTTTAAAATC